CAGATAAATAGAGATGGGTCCGATTCGGATTGCACCATGTCCAGCTCCAACAAAACACCCCGTAAGTGCTGATGCCACAAACGTGGTGCTTGTTTCAGTCCATACACACTTCGCTTGAGCTTCCAGATTTTGTCTCCGTCGCGCCGTGGTTCTGGGGGTCTCACATACACGTCCCGGTCGATTGGAGCGTACAAAAACGCATTGGAGATGTCGAGTTGCACCACCTTCCGCTTCGTAGTAGATGCACCAGCAACGAACATGCGTGAGGTATGTCCTTGGCTGACCGGTGCATACGTCTCATCGTATGTTCCCCATGTCTGTCCGCATCCCTTGACCACCCAACGTGCTTTGAACCGGTTTGGCTGCCCGTGTTCATCTCGTTTCACTCTTAAAACAACTCCTTCCGTCAGCACCGGCGTTCCCTTTGGTACGGTTACTCTGTCCACCACTTCGTATGCTTCCAGTTTGTCGAACTTGGCCAATTCTGCATCTACAGCGGCTTGCCAAAGAGGTGCGTACTGGTCTGTTGTCATCTCCTTAAGCGTTTTTGGCTCCTTGTATGTCAAGTCTACCATTGGGACGCCGGTTGCTGCACATCCTCGCACGTGTTGCTGCAAGTTGGGATGTTTGTTGAAGGCTTGTGCTGCCTGCCGTTTCCCAAACAGCACGTCCAGTCCTGTCATGCTGTCTGTCCCTTGTCCTTCTCCTCCGAGCACAGTCACAGTTGGGTTGAAGTGAACCCGCCGTGGAGTTGCGTCATGAGCTGCCAGCTCGATCCCATCAGGTGGGTAGGCAAAGTCATAGAGTTGACTTGTCTCATTCTCCATTTCGTTGGTTTCAGCACCTTCAGGAACAGAGACGCCAGCTGGAGGTAAGTGACATGCTGCATCCCCTTCTCCTTTATTGGCTGCGTCATCAATGGGTGAATCCTCTTGAGTTGCGTCAGCTTCCTGTCCTCGTGTGGTTGATGTGTCCGTGGGCGACGTAGGCGATGGTGAGGATGCGGGAAATGAGTCAAACTCGGACCCAAAGCCTTCTCCCCCTGAAGTCCAGCCGTCAATGTGGGGTGAGACTTCTTCCATGTAGCGGTGGCGTTCGAGTACCGATTCAGCGTCCGGAAGCATGAGATCATCAAAGAAGCGAGCTGAGCGTGTGTCCGTGTCAACATCGCTTGCCAAGTCCCGCACGATCCATGCCTTCCGAGCGTTGGAGAGTCCAAGGAACATCCCAACCCTTCCTCTTTGCTCGAACTTCCCAAAGCTGCCTTGGGGAGGGAGGTAATAGCAGAGGCACCCAAATGTTCTTGCCATTGAGACATCTGCTGCCTTTCCTGTCATCATGACGTACGGTGAGTGTGCCGATGGGTTGCTGCTGCAGCTGATGCGGTTGTGTAACCATGCTGCATACTCCAGGGCGTAAGGCCAGAACTTAGAGGAAAGGCTGGCTCCGGTGGTCATTGCACGGACTCGGTCCATGAGTGTGTGGTTAACCCGTTCGGCGACTCCATTCTGCTGCGGCGTGTGAGGTAAAGACGTTTGGTGGATGATGTCGTGAGAACTCAGGTATTCCGTTAACGCATTTGTTGTATACTCTCCTCCGTTGTCCGTGCTCAAGGCAGCCAGCGGCTTCGCGGGAAGCTTGGTCTTCATCTCGCGATGCCAAGCCGAGAAAACTGCAGCCATGTCGGACCGGCGAGACAACGGCGCCACCCACAGGTAGTTGGTGTAGTCGTCCTTGAGCGTCAGCACATAGCGAAGAGAAGGGTGAGCATCACCCAGGTCCATGATGTCGCTATGCACGAGCTCCAAAGATCGAGTTGTGCCCTTGGTGTTTCCTGTGGGAAAGGGGGCCTTGCTCATCTTCGCTCGAAGACATGAGTCACATGGGGGTTTGAGAGGGTTAGTCTTGTCGGATATGGTGAGTCCTTCAACATCACCATTCCGAAATATTGCATCCATGGATGTGTATGATGGGTGACCCAAGCGCTTGTGGGCCATGCGGTAGGTGATGGATGCATGAGCAGAAAGTGGATTCAGCCCCTTATGACCATGATCATGCGATGTGTCATCCTCATGGTAATGGTCAGATCCATGGGCAGATGCAAGTGCAGGCTCATACTGCACCATGAGCACACCATGCATGATCATTCCAACCCCAATGACCACATGCTCATCTTCAGCCGCCATAGTAATCTCCGTGCGTCCGTCATCACGAGTGCGAATCCGAGCTCCTTTCTTGTGCAGTTGGCAATAGGAGAGCAGATTGGACTTCAAGCCAGATACGTAGAGCATATCCGTGTAGCGCACTATTGTTCCATCGGGTGCCGTTGCTCGGATTGTTCCCGCCATCGAGCTCAACAGGTGGCTCCCATCAGCAAGCTCCACGTAAACAGGTTCGTCCAGCTCCTCTAGACCCTCGAACCAATCCTTTTCCAGTCTCATGTGTTGGCTGCATCCGCTGTCCAGCAACCACATCGACCCTCCGGCTGATGGTAGCGTTGCTTGGGACGACCGAACCGTTGCAACGCATGTAACGGTGCGTTTGTTGTCTCCCCCGGCTGCCCCTTGCTGTTTTGACGTTTGGTTGTCACGTTTGGGGCTTTCGCTCCTTCGAGGCGAGGACGAACGGCTACTCCAGGTGCGCTGGTTTGTCCTCCCTCTGTTTTGTGGTTCCCACCCTGGTGGTGACCAACCTGGGGGCGCCTTAGGACAATTGTAAAACGGGTGGCCAGATTCCTTGCAGTACCAACACACAAGGTTGGAGCGCCCTCCCCTTCCTTCGTTGCCCTTGAGTTTCTCCCCAACCGTTGCGTGCTGCCCTCCCGTTGACTTCACCGCATTCTGGTTGCCCTTTGTCTCTGTCCTCTCCTTTGCTGGTGAATGATCTCCACGTGCTTGGCCAGCCATGCGAGGGGGACGTTTGTCGCGGTTGGTCTTGCTAATGAGGTCTTGGTAGCGTTGTTCTTGAATCATCATTCGTTTAAGTGTGTAGCTGTCCGAGATGTCATGTAGCATTGCTGAGTGTCTCAGCTCCTCCCAATGCGGCGGCAGTCCAGTAATCAGATTCAAGGTAAATGAATCCTCATCCACCATCTTCCCTGTTAATGCCAGCTTGTCACGAATTGCCGTTGCTCGATTGAAATATTCCTCTACTCTCTCTTGACTCCCCATCTTCAGATTGTCCAATTGCTTTTGGAGAGATGCCTTTGCCACCGAATCCTTCGCCTGGTACGTCTCCATCAGATATTCCCATGCCTCAAACGCCGGGCTGTAGGATTCTTGAAACACATCCAGTTGCAACTGAATCGTTGCGCTCACGCTATGTAGTAGAACCCAAAACGCCAGCGTCGCACGTTGTGAGTAGTCCGCTTGCAGATTTTCCAGCCGCTCCATTGCGTCTCTCATGTTGCCGTCGGCCATAGTAACCGGGTATTGAAGCGTCACGAAGAATTCCCATAGGTTTGTCACGCGCGCGTTCATGCGAAACCGAAGCGCCCACTCGCGAAAGTTGGTGCCGTCGAATGGAGTAGTAGTGAACGCCTTGTCCACCGCTGCCCCCACCATCTTGCGTGATAGTCTGTCCTTGTCTTCCTCCGTGTACTCGCGTGGAGACGGGTCGAAGAGAGTAGGTATGGTAGATGGGCGTGGCAGTTGAACCGAGTGTTGCGTTCCACCGTCTTGACCATACGTGCGTTGCTCCACCACCTCCACGCGATCACGTCGCATAACACCACTTGACTGCATCCCGTGTCCCGTGCGTCCCATGCTTCCTGCAGGTGCTGCTCCCATTTGACCACGTGGCGCACGAGGAGGTACGATGTTTTCTCCAAAAGGGTGAGATCTGCCCATGACGGGAGCTCCAAGGGGGTGAGAGTTAGTGGCAAGACGCCGTAGTGGGGGAGCACCAATAGTATAGGACTCAAATCCCACACCTTCCACGCCCACTTGATCAACTCTGCCACTCCCTTCACCAATCTGCCTCCTCATGCTCCTTTCTATGCCAAATCCATCACCACGTTCCCTTGCACCCACTCCGCTCCCGTACTCGTCATCCCTCTCGCTTGCTTCCCTTTGCACGGTTGATGGAGGTGCGATATGAGAACTCCCCTCTCCTTGGAAAGATGCGTCCCTCCCTTGGGACGACTCTCCTCCTCGGGGTACGTCTCCCTCTTCTTCACCTCCAACTTCAGCATGCGCATTTGAAGCGTGGGTTTGCTCGGTACGTGGAGTGCTTGCATGTGACTGTCCACGGGTGGATGGGTCTTGTGCTTGACTTGGCATGTTGAACTTGACTCTTAATGACGCTTGAAGTGTTGGTGGTGCCCTTGCGATCATGTTTTCCAGGTGCTCAGGTTGAGCCATAATAGCCTCTTCAAACGCCGCGTATCCTGCGTCAACTTCCTCATCAAACCGAGCCATGCCGTTGATACAGAAAGTTGCTCGTACCTATGCTAACTTGCTGATATCCTTGTCAAACGTTGTTGATAATAAGTTCCTGACCGAATTTCGGCAGCATGCCCCCTAGAGTAGCTCTGATACCATGCTAGAAAGGCATAGTGCCGTCGTAGCGGAAGCCTTGATTGTATAGCAGAACAGAACTGGAAGGTTTCCAATGGAATGAATGATTATGAAACCACACAGCAGGAAATTTATGCTACCAGCTACCCTGCCCATACCCATCCATTCACACCAATAATTGTACCACCAATAATGGCAACTCCAATGAAGGAGTACCAATAATTATACCCCCCAGACCTCTAGACTCCAATCATTCCAGCCCTACAATAATTGTACAATTATTGTAGGCCCTGAAGTCTTATAATGAGGACTACAGTAAAATCTAACAGCATACACATTTCTGTATGTTATGTATTTCTCAACACATGCTACATACACAATGGTGTGGGTCTTACATGCAGGACTACAGCTCTCATGGATCATGATTCGCCAACAGGCTGACGTTCATCGCAACAATGCACCACTCCCCTGGCCCTCCACTTATTATTGCGTTGGCCCACCCACGTTGCCCACAGTGCTGCCCGGACCCACCCCTGCTGCTGCACCTGCCTCCCCTTGCCGGCCCGCTCTCCCTCTGAGAGCAAGGTCTGGCGCCCTCACCACTGTGGCCCGCACGTTGTACTTGTCCGTGCGAATGTACTCACTCACTCCTTCCCTCACTCCCTCCCTCACTCCCTCTCCCCTTCTCTCTCTCGCTGCCTCCTCCGCTTTCCAAGCTGCCATCCCACCCGCCCACACACCTCGTGACTGGGTGCTGGCCGCTGAACTACTACCACCACCACCACCTGTACCAGCAGCAGCAGCAGCACCAGCTCCAGTGGAAGCAGCAGCAGCAGCAGCAGCCCCATGGTCTTGTGCTCCGGCACCCTCCCTGCAACCCCCCTCTGCCACCGTCTGGCTTTGCCCAAACGCCTTCCCCCTTGCCTCCACTCCCTTCGCTCTCCCCCCTACCTCTCCTGCCCCCTCTGTGCCAACCCCGCCGGCACCACCAGCGGCACCACCAGCGGGGGTGGGTGCGGGTGCGTGGGAGTGCGGCAGGGCTGGCAAGGCGGGGGGAGGCGCGGGTGGCGGGGGGGGCAGCAGCTCCTTGGAGCGGCGGTCGGTGGCAGCATTGGCGCCCGCCATGCTCATGTACCCGCTGTGCCCCGCTCCCACGCTGCCCCCCCTCCCCGCCCTCTCACTCGCCCCCCCTCCCCCTCCCGCACCCCCTCCCGCACCCCCTCCTCTCCCCCTTTGCCTCCCCTCACCTTTCCCCCCTTTGGCCGTCCTCCCTCGCCCCCTGGGCCGTTCAGGCAGCATTCCGGCGCCCCTGCTGCGCCGCAGCACCGCCACCACTCCCGCCACCCAACCCCCCGCCGCACCCTTCCCCCCATCGCCACCCGTCCCCTCCGCCGCCGCCCCCTTTCTACCCGCGCCGCCCGCCAGCCTCTCACTGGACGCGCACAGGCTGTCCACGTCAGACGCCACGTCAGCATCGCGACCCAGAAGGCGGTCCCAGAAGTGGGCGAGGCGGTAGAAGGTGGGGAAGAAGTGGAGCTCGAGGGCTGTGGTGAGGAGGAGGGCGAAGATGAGCCAGGCGGCCAGCAGCACCGTGTAAAATAGAGGGGCGGCTGAGATGAATAGGCCAACGAGTAGCTGCGCCTGCCCCAGCAGCAGCGCCACTGCGCCTCCCACGGCGTGCACGCGCCGCCAGTACGGCCGCCACTTGCTGTCCTCGTGTGGCCGCCACACCAGCGCTGACAGCTGCGCACACAGGGGTGGGGGAGGGCGGGTGCACGTGAGTGAAGAGGGACTGGGGATGGATGGAAACGAGAAGGGGAGTGAGGGAGGGCGATGAGGAGGCGGCGAGAAAGAGAGGGGCGGAAGCAGGTGCAGACAGCCGGGAGAGAGAGGTGTTACAGCCACATGCCCACCCGCAGCACAGCAGCACAAAGCCAGAGACCTCCAGCTCACCTGCAGTGCAGTGATGACCATGAGTGTGATGCCCATGGCCGTATGTGCCACCACGCACGCCCCTCGTGACACAGCAGCATAGCAGCATAGCACAGCGGCATCAGTTGCACAGCACAGCACAGAGCCAGCGACCCCATCCCAACCCACCCCACCCCACCCCACCTGCAGCGCTGCAATGACCATGAGCGAGATGCCCATAGCCGTGTGCGCCACCACGCACGCCCCTCGTGACGCCTTGTCAGCGCGGCCCTGGATGGCGCCGTGCGGCATGGTGAGCGCCATGGTGAATGCCACGGTGGCCAGCGAGGCAGCAGCGAGGTGCAGCGCCTGGTGCACGGGGAACCAGCGCGCGTACACCTGCCGCAGGTAGCGCGCTGCCATCACGCCCAGCGGCATCAGGAACGCCCACGCCACCGTGCTGATTATGCCGTGGATCTGATGGGGGGGGGAGGGGAGGGGGAGGAAGGGTAGGGTGTGTGTGTGGGTTAGGATGGTGAGGCGGGGGGATCACATGATGGCACGAGGAGGGAGGGAGCCGAAGTGGGGGATGAGGGGGAGCACCTTCCAGAGGCGGATGGTGTCGTTGGAGTCGTCTTTCGGCTCGCCGCGTTCGAAGCTGATGGCTGACGTCATCAGCGCGTCCAGCCCATCCAGCGACAGCACCCCCCCCGTCTCGTTGGCCGCAGCTGCAGCAGGCAGGGAGAGGTGCGCGCGCTGGCCCTTGGTCCACACGAGGTACGCGGCGGCCGTCTGGTTGGGCAGCAGCAGCAGCGAGAAGAGCAGCGTCAGTGCGCCGTTCCGCGCCTGCCCCACGCTGCTCACCACCGTCAGATCGCCCCCCGCCACCGCCTCCACGCCCACGCCCCGCGCACCCGCGCGCACCACCACCTGCCCCACCTCCACCTCCGCCCCGCCCGCTGCTTCCCCCGCGCCCGCGGCCTTCCCGCCACTCCCACCCCGCGCCGCCTGCGCGTACGAGACGACGAGGAGGCTCGAGTTGGCGACGGCGCCGGACGGCGAGAGGCCCACGGCGGCGTACCCGCCGTCGGGCACGGCCTGCGCGACGAACGCGGCGCGCAGCGTGATGCCCGCCAGCGACCACATGAGCAGGAAGCCCCCGGGCAGCGCGTCACACGCGTCGAACGCGTACACCTGTCCGCCCACCGCCGTGCTGCACTCGCGCAGCCCCGGCATCCCCGCCACGCCCCCCGCCGCGTCCGCGCCAGGCGGGGGCGGGGCAGCGGCGCCGGGCGGAGGCGGAGGCGCGTACGGGGGGAGCGGGGGGTGGTACTCGGGCTTGGTGCCCCAGAGCGGGGAGCAGGTGCGGATGGGCGCGGGCGGCGCGAAGGGGATGCGCGTGCCGCCAGAGAAGTAGCCCAGCGCGGGGTCGTGGAAGAGCAGCGTGGGCGCGGCGGCGGTGGACGCGGGGGCGAGCGGGCCCGCGGCGAAGACGACCCACCAGAGCGCGGAGAGGCCCGGCGCGCGCAGCAGGTTGGCGTCGAAGCGGTCGTCCGCCGTGGCGGCGGGCTTGGTGAAGCGGATGAAGGTGACGTCAGCGCGGCGCGAGGCGGAGACGAGGGTGACGTCGTTGAGGGACGTGGGGGAGGAGCCCAGCAGCGCGTCCTGCGCGGGGGGGGGAGGGGCGGATGGTGGCGGGATGAAAGGGAGGAATGCAGCGGGGAAGGGGAAGGGGAGAGTAGTGTCGTGAGGGAGAGATGAAGGAGTAACGTGAGCGAATGGGGGGGGGCGCGAGATGGGGAGGGAGATGATGGACCCACGTGACACACGCGAGAGGGGGCTTTGTGACACCCAGTGCTGGTGAACCGCCACTCGCACACGCCCACACGCACCTCACACACGCCGACGAAGCCGCCCGCGACCTGCTGGCACGTCTGCTTGGCGGTGACGTGGTAGTCGCGCGCAAAGACCCCTCCGCTGCCCGCCAGCACGCCGCCCACCGTCACGTCGCTCTGCAGCATGGCGAAGCGCGTCTGGTTGCGCGACACGCCCACCGCCACCCACGACCCCTCGCCCACGCGCGCCTCCATCCCCATCTCCACCACCGGCCCCTTCCCCGCGCCGCCGGCGCCGGCGCCGCTGCCAGCGCTGGTGCTGGCGGGCGCGGTGGCGGACCCGGTGACTGCGGAGACGTCTCGCGGCGGTCCCGCGGCACCTGCGTCCGCGTCGCCGTGATGCACGGTCCAGTATCTGCCGCAAGGGGGGAAGCGGAGGGGGGCGGGGTAGGAAGGGTGGGGGGGGCGGGGGGGGTGTGATGAGTGAAAAGTCAAGGGCCGTGGGGGGACCCGCGCACATGCTTTCGCCCCTCCGCTTTTTTCCCTCTCCGCCGCCTACCCATTTCCTCCCAGCCCCACGCAAGCCTCCGTCCCCGCTCACTCACATGTTCAGCCGCCCCGGCACCGCCTCCACGCAGTTGGTCAGCCCGACGGAAGGCCCGCTGCTGCCCGGCGCAGGTGGCTTGGGGGGCGGAGGGGGCGGGCGCGCGGGGGGCGAAGGCAAGAGCAGGCGCTGCTCCTTAGCGGCCGCCCCCACCGCCTTCCGCACCCACCGCACAGTCTTGCCGTGCGGGCCCGCGTGCTCCCGCCCGCCCACAGCGAACTGCGCGTAGATCCGCGTGATCCCCGCGGAGGCGGACCCCGCGCAGAGGTAGAGCACCTGCGCCTCGTCCCAGGTGAGCCCGCCCGCCTGCAGGAACACCGCCATCAGCGACGTTGCCGTGAGGTTGAATGCGGTGCTGGCCGGTGCGAAGGCAGCGGCGGGGGAGGCAGGGAAGGAGGAGGCGGCGTAGGGGTCGACGGGTGCGGCGTGCGAGTAGGGGTCGACGTCCTTGGGGCCCGCCCAGATGGACAGCGGCGCGTCGACGGACGCGCTGATGCTGCGGGTGGGGCGTGGGGAAGGGAGTGGACGGGTGGCGGGGAGAAGGGATTAAGTGGAGGGGATGGGTGGAGGTGAGAGTCGAGAGAGGAGCGATGGTCGCTAGTGTGGGAGTTACGAGAGGATGTTGAGGGATCAAGGCCGAAAGTTGGGAGCGCCCTGGTTGCGGTGAGCTGGAGTTGCGATGAGTGGAAGAGAGGCACCTGAGATCTGAGAGCGCGAAGTAGCAGTCATCGTAAACGGTCACTCGCCCCGATACCGCTTGTCCTTTAGGCGACGCCGCCTCTCCCTTGTACGGCTCTAATGCGCCTTGCACGCCGACCGCGGAGAAGTTACCCGACGTGCCGCACGGGGTGTAGGGTCCCGCGGAGTAAAAGAGCACATCGTAATTTTCGGTCGCCGATGAGCGCGTTACGGAATGAAAAGACAACGCGAACACGAGAACGGTGAGGGCTGTCAAGCTGCAGCGTTGCCGTGCCATAAGGACCTGCAGAGTTGGTCGCGCGTCGAACGAATGGCTTACGACGCTGAGCGCATCGACTTGGCAAAGGTTGCAAGGTCTGACTCACGTATGCTACATAACTTATCGTGGACAAACATTAAGACTGGATACGACTCAGCCCTCTAATTTATTTCAAAACTGATTATTTCCCCGCTTCGTGACACGCCATGGTTAGTACACAACAGCCAGATGCTTTCTCAACAGAACTACGGGATTGCCGCGTTGAGCTTGCTAATTGAACATTTCAGGGTTCTCGTGAACAAGGAGAATGTCGGCAAGGCATTTGTCCATCACTCCCGTGTCGCATTGTTTTCCTTGGGATCTCATCCTGCTGGCGAATAGGGTGGTGGCGGGAAAGCTGACACTCTGACATCGTTGCATTTGTGCGATATTGCATACTGCGATTGCGAGTAAGAACCTACACTTTACTAGCACTCTCAATTGCGTTAGCGGCAGATTTGTTATCCACGTGCGAGTCAGAACGGGCAGCTCTCGTTTCGCGGTGGCGGTAGGGAGGGGCATCAGGTGAAGGTACAACCTCTAGGGTTTCGCTGGGTTCGTTGGACCGCCACCTGATTGGCCCGCGCTTACTGGCAGCGCAAGGCCGCCACAACACCCCCCCCACATCCGTTACTGTAGCCTCACCCGCACTGGTTGCCCCCTCGCCCGCCGCACATCCCCCTCCCCCCTCCCTCCTGCCTTCACCTCACATCACACGCCGAAACCGTTTCCTTCCGCGCGCAGCAAATCTGCCTCCCCGCAGCCGCGCCTTCCCACGTCACTTTCTTTTTCCGCTCCCTCTGCCGATCCCCCTCTTCCGCTTCCCCATCTGCGCGCCTGCAACCCAAGCGAACCCCGTCTTTCCCTGCAAGCATCCGCCCTCCGCCCGCCTCGCCTGTGCTGTCTGCTCCGCTTGCTCCACCTACACCCGACCTGCCCTACCGGCAGGCAGCCATGGCTGTCGGGCTCATCTGGCATGTGTACCACTGCACTGCACTGTACTGCAATATCCATCGCTACTCTAGCTTCCCTACCCGCTACCTCGCACTGCCTGTCTCATGGTGAACGCATGGCGCGAGCGTGAGCTACGCTAGCTGATTCGCGTGCTGTGTGCTGTGTGGTGAATGCACGTCATGAAACCACTCTCGCCGCTCTCACACGTATCGATCGTTAGGTCGACTGATCCCCTGTAGTTAAGATATTAGTTTACGGATTTATACCCTCAAGAAGGCTTCTGGTTTGTAGTTTCGATAGAGTTAGTCTTATTATACTCTTAAGTGCGATGGAGTCCGACAGTGCCGCCAGACGCTCGCAACAGCTCGCCGTGGTTTCCTCGTCTGCGGAAGCCGCCGCAGTGGACATTGCGCCTCCCGCCTCCGGCCTTGCCGCATCACCTCCCGCCGCCATTGTCGTCGCGGCGCCAGCTGCCGCTCAACCGCCGCTACCGGAAATTCAGGCGAGTGATTAGCGGCGGTCCTCCTGCTAGTGGCAGCGACGCGCGTCTAGTCGCAGCCTTGTTCAAGAATGCATGAGAACTCGGCGCGCTTGCATCGAGCGTGCGATATCTCGCCTCTCCGCCTTGCCCTGACCATGTGCCGTCGCCCTTCTCCGCTTCCCCCCATTCACCCCCCGGACCCCTCTGGTCACCCCTCCTGTGGCATTCTTCTGGGCGCGCGCGCGCGAGCAGGTACCGGAGGAGGACGAGCGGCTCGAGCCGTGGCTGGCGCACGTGTCGGTGCTCGTGCACCTCGCCACCTTCGCCATCATCGGGGTACGTCCGCCGCGCCGCACTCGCTTTCATCCCATCCACACCGCACCGCGCCAGAACCCCTCGCTCTCTTGTCGCATCATAATCTTCACGCCGCTCCTCGCGCATTCACCTCAGTGCAGGTCTCTTCCCCTCTCTTACCCCCTCTCCCCCTCTCTCCGTGCTTCCGCCGCCCCACTCCCGTGCTGTCGCTGCGTGTGCGCGTGCGAACGGCGGCGCGCGGCGGCGTGCGCAGGTGCTGATACGGTACGGGCTGGAGGTGCTGTTCGGGCCCGAGGTGGCGCACGTGACGGACGACGAGCAGACCGTCTTCATCGACTTGCCCGCTAACATCGTGAGCCGCGCCCCTTAACACCTTCAAACCCTTTCCCCGCCCCACACTCTCACTCTCCCACCCACTTCCCCGCACCCACCATCCCCGTCTTCCCTCCTTTCCGCGCTTCCCCCCTCTCCCCGTCACGTGCGCTCCTTGTTTCCTTCCCCTCCCTTCCCCTCCCCAACACCCCCACCCCCCCGCCCCACGGCAGGCGGGCAGTTTCATAATGGGAGTGGTGGGAGTGGCGGCGAAGCGGCACATAGCGGCGTATTCGGAGCACCTGGCGATCGGGCTGGCAACGGGGCTGTGCGGGTGCATCACGACGTTCGCGTCGTGGAACCAGCGCATGCTCGCCATCCTCGCCTCCGGCCTCTGGGTGCGCGCCCTCGCCGGCTACATCGTCGGTGCGTGCGCCCTCCCCCTCTCTGCGTGCGTTGTCACTTCGTTGCTCCTTTGTGCCTGTGCTGCTCTGTCAGTCAGTGTGCACTCTCCATTGCTCCCCATCTGCCAGCCTGCGCCAATGTTCTCCCCTATCCCCGCTCTACTTCCTCCCCCCCTCTTGTGCTGGCATGCAGGAGCGGCGCTGCCGTTCGTGTCGCTGATGGCGGGGATCGACTTTGCGGACGGCATCAAGTGGCAGATCAAGCGCGCCAACGACCGCCGCACCGCGCGCGGGAAACCACCCCTGCGCGCGCCACGGAGCGACCACTTTGACCGGCGGTGGGCGTCGCTGCTGCTCTTCTTCTGCCTTTCCGTCTTCCTCGTCACTGCTGCCGCCATCGGCACAGCACTCGACGACTGGTCCTCCAAGACGCGGCGGCTTTGGTTCGCGTGCGTGGTGGCGGCGCCGGGTGCGTGGCTGCGGTGGTACCTGTCGTGGCTGAACGGCGGGGCGGTGGGCAAGGGGCGGTGGTGGCAGTGGGTGCCCGTGGGCACGGTGGCTGCCAACGTGAGCGCGTCCGTGCTGGAGGCTGCTCTCTCTACTGTCGTGCTCGCTGTGAGTCCCACCCTTATACATGCACGCACACTCACAATGCAGGCTCACACACTCACTCATGCACGCTCACATACACACACACACGTACTCACACGCTGGCCATGGTACAGGCATAGCCGTGGCAGCGCACGCCCTGCCCTGGCTGGCAGCCCAGGCGCCTCTCTTACGCTCACCCCATTCCATCCAACCCAGCATTGCCATTCTCTCTCCTGCCCTCCCAATCCTGTCCTCACCTGCTCCCCTCATGCCCGCCCTGTTCCCCCCCCCCCCCCCCCCCACAGTACAACAGCGTGGAGAGTGTGCTGGCGGTGGGCGCCATACAGCTGGGGTTCCTGGGGTCACTGAGCACCGTGTCAACGCTCATGGTGGAGGTGCTCGCACTGCACAAGGCCAAGACCGGCCGCTGCTGGCGCCCCTACTTCTACCTCTACGGAGTCACCATCCTCCCCTCCTTCCTCCTCGGCATTCTCGTCTACTGTGTGCCCGTCTGGGTGCTCGACTACACCTCCAAATACAATCACTTGTAAAAGCAATTGTGATATACGATTTGTACACATGCCTTACGCAATCGAATGGGTTATATGCAGTTGTTTATAAAGCCAAACTTATATCCCTAGCAGCCTCTAGACTAGAGGCACATGCTACTATGGATGCGGTGTAGAACAACCCTGAAAAGTTGAGCTTAGATTGTGGCCAGACCTTGAACGGTAGTGCAGATGGGATGGGAGGGAGTGCAGAGCGGAGTACCGAACCATAGATTGCTGCACGGAGCTCTGCTGCTGACACAAGGCACTTTCAGATAGACAATCCTTTTCCTGGCTTCTCTTCTCAGAGAGTCGGTTTCCAAAAAGGATGCACATACCGTACGCGTGCAATGTGCAGCTGTCATTCAAGTCAGGTACCGGTACATGCTATGTTACAATCAAGGGAGGGGAGGATCAGCAGGAGGCCTCCTAAACTCACTACTTCTAACAGCCTTGCTTAGGATGCTGAACAACGTTGAAGAACAGCCGTGTGAAGTTGTGACCAGACCTTGAAGAATAGTGCTGCTAATGGGAGTGCAGTAGCGCAACAAGACCAAGCCACATTGACGTGGTACAACAGTGTCAAAGTATATGCATGTTCTATATGTGTAGGCTGTAGTGGGGTAGCCAATATGGGGTACAACCCCTTTTAGGGTTTCATACTTGTACCCAACTCTTTCATAGTTCAACCATTCCTGCTGCTTGATTCTGACATGGTTTCAGAGCACTAGGTCCGTAGGATCGTTCTTTTCGGGCCCACCTACCGTTGCGGTTACCGTGTTACCCCACGTGTTGTCCTGCCTGCCTGCCTTGCCTTGTGACGTGCTGCGCTGCGCGCGCCGTCCTGCAGCCCTCGTACTGCCCACTGCTGCCCTAGGCCAGAACGCCGCCCCTACAGGCCCGTCAGGCTCACGCGCCGCGCCTGCAGACACCCCAGGGCGCCGCCCCGCCAGTTCGCTGCCCCGCGCGTCGCGCCCACAGCCCGCGCGTCGCGCTGCTGCCCGCGCGTCGCGCTGCAGCGCCGCGCGTCGCGTTCGCTGCCCGCGCGTCGCGCTGCAGCCCCGCGCGCCGCGGCTGCCGTCCTCGCGCAGCCCGCGGCGGCTTCGCGCGCCGCGTTTGCAGCTCGCGTGGCGCGCTGCAGCCCCGCGCGCCGCGGCTGCCCCTGGACGCCGCCGTCGCTCCTGCAGCAGCTGCCACGGAGCGCCCTGCTGCAGTCGCGGCCCCGCCCTGCAGCACCTGCCGCGGAGCCTCCTGCCGCCGTCGCCACCCTGCCCTGCAGCAGCTGCCGTGGAGCCTTCAGCCGCCGTCACGTCCGCGCCCTGCAGCAGCTGTCGCGGACCTGCCCTTCCTCCGACGCGGTCCTGCTCTGCCGCAGCTGTCGCGGCCCCGCCGTCGCCGCCGTTGTGAGTTTGCCCTTCTCGCCACTGGTGAGCACTTACCTGCCTGCCTGCCTGCCTGCCGCGCCTGCCCTGCCTGCGCTACTACTACTGCTAGACTGCTGCTGCTGCTGCTGCTGCTGCTACTGCTGCTGCTGCTACTGCTGCAACTACTGCTACTGGCGGTGGCCAGATGCAGCTCCAGCGACGTTCACGCGAGTCTCTCACGCCCCAGCAGCTTAGTGAGTGGTACGCTAGTTGGGGTTGTGGCGGTCGCCGTCGTAGCTGTCGCCCTGGAGCTGGTCAGTTGGGAGCGTCTGGCAGTGGCCAGCTGCAGCTACAGCGGCGTCCACGCGAGACACTTACGTCCCAGCAGCTTCACGAGTGGTACGCTCAGAGTAGAGGGTCTTTGAGTACCGTTCGCTGCCCGTACGTCATTCGCACAGGTGATCGGATCGGTCAGGCTTGCGGGACACTTGGTCACACACAGTCCCGCTGCTTCGCCCGTCTGAGCGACGCCTGGCGTACCGAGTTTGGCGACGAGGCTGAGCTCCCCTCCTGGCTGGAGCTGCTTGGACAGAGGGTAGATATCTTTGCTCTTGACTATGATGCTATTCTCACTGCCATGTATGCATGGCCTACTAGTGCTGACCGTGCCTGTTCCCTGTGCGTACCGCCTGACCCAGGTATAGAGCCTGCTGCTCTAGGTGCTGGTGAGGCTGCTGCTCTAGGTGCGAGTGCGTCTCCTGCTCTTGGTACTGGTGAGGCTGCTGCTCCAGGTGCTGGTGAGTCTGCTCTCCCTGGTACTGCGCCTGCTGAGGCCGTGTACACCTTCACACTTGACTCAGGTGCTTCCCGCTCCTTCTTTCGCGACAGCACCACACTCACGCCGCTCCGTCGGCCGGTTGCAGTCTCCCTGGCAGACCCCTCTGGGGGTCCAGTCCTTGCGCACTCCTCCACGGTCCTGCCGTGTCCGGCGGTCCCGTCTGGCTCCCTGTCAGGTCTTCACCTCCCCTCGTTCTCTACGAACTTGGTGAGTGGAGCTGACCTACAGGATGTGTGGGTTGACCAGTTCACCCCTGGAGGTCAGCGTGTGACACACTGTACGTGTTCCCGGACTGGTCGGCACCTGGCCACGTTCACCCGAGAGCCTGGCTCGAGTCTGTACACACTCACCACTGTGTCCCCTCAGGTAGCTGCGTCTGCGTCTGCGTTTGCGTCAGGTCAGCTAGCGGCCCCGTGCTCGTGTCGCGCTCTGTCGCACCAGACCCTCCTTTGGCACCACCGCCTTGGTCACCCCTCGGTGCAGCGCCTTCGTAGCATGCACAGCCGTTTCCTTGTCTCTGGACTTCTAGAGACTCTGCCTCCTCTACCACCCTCGCCTGCTCCTCCCTGTCTTCCCTGTGTCGAGGGGCGGCAGCGCGCCGCTCCTCACTCCTCCTCGTTCCCTCCCACAGAGGCTCTCCTGCAGACTCTCCACCTGGACGTGTGGGGCCCAGCCCGCGTCTGTGGACAGGGCCACGAGCGGTTCTTCCTGCTGGTCGTCGACGACTACACGCGTTACACCACGGTCTTCATGGACCAGTCCTTCAAGCTGCAGCAGCAGTTCGGCACCGCCATGGAGTCAGAATCCGATGAACTTAAGGTGGGTGGGTTGGGAGCGGTGCGGGTGGATGGGTGGGTGGGTGGAGAGTGGTGCAGTTGGGTGCTGTTCTGCCTACCTGGCTGCCGCTCTGGCGGTGGCAGATCTACCTCTCCATGGACCAGTCCTTCAAGCTGCAGCAGCAGTTCGGCACCGCCATGGAGTCAGAGTCAGATGAGCTCAAGGTGGGGAACGGTTGGGTGGATGTGTGGGTGGGTGGGGAGCGGTACGGCACGGTTGGCTGGTGCTGTGCTCTGCTGCCTTCGTGACTGCCGGTAGCAGATCTACCTCTCCATGGACCAGAGCTTCAAGCTGCAGCAGCAGTTCGGCACCGCCATGGAGTCAGAATCTGACGAGCTCAAGGTGGGTGGGTTGGGCGCGGTGGGTGGAAAGCAGTGCGGACGGGTGCTTTGCTGCCTGGCTAAGTAATTGCACGACTGACTGGTCCATCTTCGCCTCTTCTCCGCTCCCCTTCCCCCCCCCCCCCCCCCCCCTTCCCTCCCTCCCCTCCCTCCTTCACCCTCCTGCCTTTTTCCCTCTCCTTCCTTCACGTCAATACCTTTGGGAAGATAACTTTCGTTACGTTTTCCTTCTATGGAGAATGCAATGTAAGCATTGTTCTTCTTTCTGCTCCCCTGTGCATCCACTGTTTCCGTCCCCTGGCGGCACCAATGATTCGCAGAGGGTGTTTTTGGAGGGCAACCCAATTCTCCTGGGCATCACGGTCGTGGTGTCCCTCCTGCACTCCGTCTTTGACTTCTTTGCCTTCAAAAATGGTATGCTGCGTGCGTGCATGCACCTTGATGTAGCTTGCGCAGGGAGTGCTGTTTTGTTTCTTTTTCCTTTTTTTGTTATGTTTTGTTTTTGTTTTACCAAGACTGTGAAGTCGTTGCAAGCCTTTTGGAGGAAGCAAGGAGTGTTGTCTGAACACAAGGGTGGTGTCGTTTGAACACAAGGGTAGTGTCGTCTGAACACAAGGGTGGTGTCGTCTGAACACAAGGGTGGTGTCGTCTGAACACAAGGGTGGTGTCGTCTGAACACAAGGGTGGTGTCGTCTGAACACAAGGGTGGTGTCGTCTGAACACAAGGGTGGTGTCGTCTGAACACAAGGGTGGTGTCGTCTGAACACAAGGGTGGTGTCGTCTGAACACAAGGGTGGTGTCGTCTGAACACAAGGGTGGTGTCGTCTGAACACAAGGGTGGTGTCGTCTGAACACAAGGGTGGTGTCGTCTGAACACAAGGGTGGTGTCGTCTGAACACAAGGGTGGTGTCGTCTGAACACAAGGGTGGTGTCGTCTGAACACAAGGGTGGTGTCGTCTGAACACAAGGGTGGTGTCGTCTGAACACAAGGGTGGTGTCGTCTGAACACAAGGGTGGTGTCGTCTGAACACAAGGGAGGTGTCGTTTGGTATGAGTCGAAAGCCACACTCCTGGTTGCAACGAACCCCGCTTCTATTTTCTCTCCCTCGCCGCCCCTCCTCTGCAACCTCACTGGCTTCATGTGCCTGCTCATGCATTCCCCCTCGCCCCTCCCCACACCGCACCCCAGACATGTGGTGATCAATTTCATCTGCCAGCTCATCATCTTCCTCTACCTGCTGCTTCCTCCCCATTACCCCCTCTTCTTCCCCCCCCTTCCTTCTCCTCCCCTCTCTTCCTCCACTCTCCTACTCCGCCCTTTCCTTCTTCCCCTCCCCTTCGCCCCTCACCTCCGCCCCCCCCATGCCCCAGACATTGCGTTTTGGAATCAGAACAAGTCAATGGAGGGTCTATCGGCCCGCTCAGTGGTGATCAACTTCGTGTGCCAGCTCATCATCTTCCTCTATCTCCTTGACAACAACACGTCGTGGCTCATCCTCATCTCCTCCGCCATCTCATGCGGGATTGAATTCTGGAAGATTGGCAAGGCCATGCATGTTGAGGTGAGGGGGTAAAAAAGGGAGGTAGGCGGGTGAATGAGGGAGGTAGGCGGGTGAATGAGGGAGGTAGGCGGGTGAATGAGGGAGGTAGGTGGGTGAATGAGGGAGGTAGGCGGGTGAATGAGGGAGGTAGGTGGGTGAATGAGGGAGGTAGGTGGGTGAATGAGGGAGGTAGGGGGGTGAATGAGGGAGGTAGGTGGGTGAATGAGGGAGGTAGGTGGGTGAATGAGGGAGGTAGGCGGGTGAATGAGGGAGGTAGGCGGGTGAATGAGGGAGGTAGGCGGGTGAATGAGGGAGGTAGGCGGGTGAATGAGGGAGGTAGGCGGGTGAATGAGGGAGGTAGGCGGGTGAATGAGGGAGGTAGGCGGGTGAATGAGGGAGGTAGGCGGGTGAATGAGGGAGGTAGGCGGGTGAATGAGGGAGGTAGGCGGGTGAATGAGGGAGGTAGGCGGGTGAATGAGGGAGGTAGGCGGGTGAATGAGGGAGGTAGGCGGGTGAATGAGGGAGGTAGGCGGGTGAATGAGGGAGGTAGGCGGGTGAATGAGGGAGGTAGGCGGGTGAATGAGGGAGGTAGGCGGGTGAATGAGGGAGGTAGGCGGGTGAATGAGGGAGGTAGGCGGGTGAATGAGGGAGGTAGGCGGGTGAATGAGGGAGGTAGGCGGGTGAATGAGGGAGGTAGGCGGGTGAACGGAGAGGGAAAGGGGTTGAATGGCGGGTGGGCGAATGAATTGAAGTTGAGGGAATCGGTCAGTGGGACAGGGAGGGAGAGGTGAAGGTGGTGGTTGTAGCCAGCTCATCATCTTCCTCTATTTGTTGCCCTACAACACGTCGTGGCTCATCCTCATCTCCTCCGCCATCTCCTTTGGGATCGAATTCTGGAAGATTGGCAAGGCCATGCATGTCGAGGTGAGGGGCTTCAGAGAGGGAGAAGGGGATGCTTCTGAAGCCAGGGGGATGAATGGGGAGGTGAGGGAGTGGGGGAGGGAAGGGAAAGGGGTGGGGGGGTGTAGAGCAATTTCATGTGCCAGCTCATCATCTTCCTGTATCTCCTTGACAACAACACGTCCTCATCCTCATCTCCTCCGCCATCTCCTGTGGGATCGAGTTCTGGAAGATTGGCAAGGCCATGCATGTTGAGGTGAGGGGGTGAAAAAGGGAGGTAGGTGGGTGAATGAGGGAGGTAGGTGGGTGAATGAGGGAGGTAGGTGGTTGAATGGGGAGGTTAGGGATTGAGTGGGGGACGAGGGAATGAATGGGAGGTGAGGGAATCCGTCAGTGGGATGGGGGAAGGGGTAAAGGGTAGTGGTTGCATCCTTCTGATTATCAGGAGCAGGGAATAGGAAGGTACAACAGCAGGTGTTGAACGCTTCATCATGCTCTTCCCTTGTCCCTCCCTCCCTCCTCCCGGTTCTCTCTCCTTCAGATTGATCGCTCGGGCAGCATCCCATGGGTGAGGTTCAGGGACCGCGAGTCGTACGCGCGCAACAAGACCAAGGAGTACGACGTGCTCGCCATGCGCTACTTCTCCTATGCGCTATACCCTCTCGTTGCCGGCTGTGCCACCACCACCTACTCGCTCCTGCTTCAGTGACCTCCACCCAAACCCTCCATCATGCTGTCCCTCCCTTCCCCGCATGCCACCCTTTCTCTTGTCCCTCCCTCCTCCCCCTCCGGCCTCTTTCAGATTGATCGTTCAGGCACCATTCCCTGGTTGAGGTTCAGGGACCGCGAGTCGTATGCACGCAACAAGACCAAGGAGTACGACGCCCTCGCCATGCGCTACTTCTCCTACGCACTCTACCCTCTCGTTGCCGGCTATGCCATGTATTCGCTCATATACGAGACGCACAAGAGCTGGTACTCCTGGGTGCTTAACTCTCTCACCGGTTGCGTCTACACTTTCGGTGAGCGTCTACACCACGAGGATTTTTTTTTTTTTTCCTCCTCTTCCTGCCTTTGCCCTGCTTTCCTCCTGTTTTTCTTGCTTTCACGCTCTCGGACCTCACCTGTCTTTTCTTCATCCTTCCCATTTTGTGTTTGTTTCGGCTTTTTCTATAATCACCACATGGCGTCATCACAATGTGTCCACAGCTGTTCATAAACCACAAACTCAAGCCCGTGGCGCACCTGCTCTTGTTGGCTGATTTTTCAACCCCATTAACCCCTTTTTTGCCTCTTTTCCGTTCTCCATACCAAACCACGTCCCCCACCAGGATTCATCATGATGTGTCCGCAATTGTTCATAAACTACAAGCTCAAGTCGGTGGCGCACCTGCCGTGGAGGCAGATGACCTACAAGTTCCTCAACACCATCGTTGATGACCTCTTTGCCTTTGTCATCAAGATGCCCACGCTGCACCGCCTGTCGGTCTTCAGGGATGGTACGTGATGTACCTGCGGACTATTCTATGTGATGGCAAGAGGTGGTACGTGATGTGTCGGTATGTTAGGGTATGTTCCTCAACACCATCGTGGACGACCTCTTTGCCTTTGTCATCAAGATGCCCACGCCGCACCGCCTCTCCGTCTTCAGGGATGGTGCGTGGAAGAGTGATGGCTGGGGGTTTTGTGATGTGATGGTATGCGCTAACTGTGGTGCTATGAGATGCTATGAGATGCTATGCGATGATATGTAGTACATGGCAGTTGGATGGTATGTGCTGTCCTAAGTTCCCTCATTGCCAATAGCCTCACTCTAGCTGGGCCTCTCATCACCAGTCCACCTTTGTTTTCCTGTTTGTTGTGGTCCCTTTGGTTCGCGCTCAACCACCTTCTGGCTTCTATTCAAACCACTCCCTTCTCCTCTCCCGCCCCTTCCCGCCTCCAGACTGTATCTTCCTCATCTTCCTCTACCAACGCTGGCTACCCCATCGACAAGAAACCCGTCAACGATCCATTTTGACACCCACCGCTTATCGCTTCCCCTTCCCCCATGTTTTTCCCAGATATCATCTTCCTCACCTTCCTCTATCAGCAGTGGATCTACCCCGTCGACAAGAAGACCCATCTCTCGTCGAACCAAAGCAGCCTACCAACCTATGCTTGTGTGCCTTCCTGTTTCTTCTTCCCCTCCCCCAGACATCATATTCCTCATCTTCCTGTACCAGCGCTGGATCTACCCCGTCGACAAGCAACGCGTCAACGAGTATGGCTTCGGCGGGGAACCCGAGGCAGCTGCCCTTGCTGGTGCTCCTGCTGCTGGTGGTGATGGTGCTGCTGATGGTGCTGGCAGTGGCAAAACAGACAGGCTGACAGCTGCTGAGGCAGAAGTTGCAGCCGCTGCTGCTGCTGCTGGTGCTGGTGCCGCTGCTGCCGCTGCTGCCGCTGCTGGTGGTGCTGGTGCTGGTACTGCTGCTGCTGCTGCCGCTGTGGCTGAGGGTAGTGAGGGGAGAGCAGGGGATGATGAAGGTGCTGGCGCTGCTAGGGGTGCAGGGGCACATGCTGTGTCAGAAGAAGGGCTTGTGAGGAGAGGCAAGGGCAAGGGCAAGGGGAAGGGGAAGGCAGGAAAAGGGGCTGGTGGTGAGGGGGAGGAGGGTGCTGATGAGGATGATAGGGTGAAGGAGAAATGAGGAGGCATGCATGAATTAACCAGATATGCAATATCAAGCCAAATAAGTTCTTGCCTTCCCCTTCATGATAGTGTTTTACATACCGTATCTTTTCATGTCTATACATTTTTTCGGTTTGTAAAGCACCGGGAGTGTTGCAGTTGCAGAATACACACAATATAAAGCTCTCTACGCAAAGAACAGGTCTCTGGCATATGGTGCAAATGCCTTAGTATCTAGCTGTCCTGAAGCAACTGCCATGTCGGATTTGATCTGCGATACAAGGTCATCTAGAAAAATACAAATGTAGAAGGGGGGAAAGGGGGGGGGGGGGGAGGGGGGAGAGAGTAGAATGAAATTCAGTTAGGAGAGGCAAAGCAATTGCTCGCATGCAGGGTTGCAAAGCTGACAGGGAAAGTGGGAATAAACGTGAAAAACATAAGCAACCCATGTAAGCAACCCAAGGTGGAAACCTCTGTTCAGTGCATGCACACAAGGCAAATAAGAGAAGGAACAAGGTTTGAGTCATCCCATAACTGAACGCCTCTTCTTAGTGCATGCATAAGGCGAGGTACCGTGTTGGGAGCAGTTGATATCAATATGGCAGCAGGGAGCAGGTCAAAAGCGGGGGAGGGGAGGGGGGGGGAGGTCCCTGGTTGGCAGTTTTACCACCCCACCTCGCGTCGTGTCTTCCCCTCTCAGGACGTCACGTTCGACGAGTCGGTTCCCTTTTACCGTCTCTTCCCCTACCGCACTGCCCCTCTCCCCCCCCTGCCGCTCTTTCTCGCTCGAGGTGCTCCCCAGGTAGACCCCCTCCTCGCTCCCGGTCCTGCTCCTTCAGGTGTGTCTCAGGTAGACCCTCCTCCCTTTGACTGAGCCGGTTGAGGTCACTGGTGACTCAGGTCCTGCTGAGGGTGGTCCTGCTCGGGTTGCTGCTTCTTGGGGTGCGGAGCCTGGGGGTGCTGAGCCTGGGGGTGCAGAGCCTGGAGGTGCGGAGCCTGGGGGTGCGGAGACTGGAGGTGCTGAGCCTGGGTGTGAGGAGTCTGGGGGTGCTGAGCCTGGGGGCGCTGAGGCGTCAGGTGAGCAGTCTCCCTGGGGCGACCGTCTCCGTAGTCGCTCCGCTGGTGCCTCGCCGCTGCACTCTCGTCGTCGACTCCCTCTCTCCCCACAGCAGCTGCTTGAGTGGTACGCTGGCCGTCAGGGTCGCGCTGGTGGAGCTAGGGGCCCTGCTGCGGGAGGCGCTGGAGCTGGTGACTCTGCCACTGGAGTTGTTTCTGCTGGAGGTACTGGCGCTGGTGGCGCTGGAGCTGGAGGTTCTGGAGCTGCTGAGGGTGCTGGCGCTGGAGGTTCTGGAGCTGCTGCGGGTACTGGCGCTGAGGGTTCTGAGTCTGCTGTTGCGCGGTTTCCTTGGAGTAGCCGCCTTCGTCCGCGTGTGCCTCTCACCTCGCAGCAGCTGCACGACTGGTACGGTCGCCGTCAGGGTCGCGCTTCTGGAGCTCGGAGCTCTGCCACTGGAGGTACTTCTGCTGACGTCACTGGAGCTGGGAGTGGTGCTGGTCCCGGAGGTGCTCGTACTGGAGGTACTGGAGCTGCTGGGGCTGGAGGTGCTGAGCCTGAGGGTGCTGCTGCTGGAGGCACTGAGGCTGGAGACCCTGGGACTGGAGGTGCCGGTTCTGGGGGTGCTGCTGTTGGTGGAGCTGGTCCTGGAGGAGCTGGCGCTGAGGGTTCTGGAGCTGCTGGAGGTGCTGGCGCTGGTGGCGCTGGAGCTGGAGGTTCTGGAGCTGCTGAGGGTGCTGGTGCTGGAGGTTCTGGAGCTGCTGGAGGTACTGGCGCTGGTGGCGCTGGAGCTGGAGGTTCTGGAGCTGCTGAGGGTGCTGGTGCTGGAGGTTCTCGAGCTGCTGGAGGTACTGGCGCTGGTGGCGCTGGAGCTGGAGGTTCTGGAGCTGCTGAGGGTGCTGGCGCTGGAGGTTCTGGAGCTGCTGGAGGTGCTGGAGCTGCTGGGGGTACTGGAGCTGCTGGTGCTGGTGTCACTGCACAGCCGCGCCTGTTCTTCGCTCCACCGTCTCCGTCGTCTCAGCCACCGCCTGACTCTGTGCTTCGCCAGGTTCTTAGTCTCCCTTCGTCTACTGGTCTTCCGTTACAGCCTGGCTCACCGCTGCCTGCTCCTTCTCCTTACACTGAGCAGCTAGGGAGTCTTCCTGAGCGTCGTGAGTCTGCGTCGCGTCCTGTCTCGCCTGTCTGTTCTGGTCGTTCCGGTCGTCGTGTTCCTCGTCCGCGTCTGCCGGCTGTCCCCGACACCCACCTCGTAGTCCGTCGTCCTTCCTCTCCTCCACAGCGTGTTCCTCTGCCGTCCCCTCCTGCGTCTTCCCTGCCTGTCGTTGCGGACCCCGAGTCTGACCGGTTTCGTGCTGCGCACCCTACTGTCACGCGTCTGCTAGCCACTGTTGTCACTGACCCGTCGTTTGAGTCTGCTGCTACGTCTGCCTTAGTTGCTGAGCTTGTTGACTTTGCTGCTGCCTGTCGTCTAGACTACGCCGCTAGTCTTGTTGCTGAGTCTGAGTCTGTCTGTCCTCCGTCCGTCGGGGGTGAGTGTGCTCTTGGCACGGACGTCCTTGAGGACAGGCAGGAGGACCTTGAGTGTCTTGCAGCCGCTGCGCCTCATCTCGTGTCCATGCTGCTTGCCCTTGAGGGAAACCCGGATGCTCCAGACATCCCGACCCCGCGCTCTTACGCTGAGGCGATCGCGGGTGAGTACTCCTCTCAGTGGCAGACAGCCATGGGCGCAGAGATGGCATCCTGGAAGTCCACAGGCACCTACGTCGACGAGGTTCCCCCACCTGGCATGTGGATTTTCAGGGTGAAGCGGCCGCCAGGTTCTCCGCCTGCCTTCAAGGCGCGTTACGTTGCACGAGGTTTCAGTCAGCGAGAGGGAGTAGACTTCTTCCAGACCTTCTCCCCCACCCCGAAGATGACCACTCTTCGGGTGCTGCTGCACGTTGCCGCTCAGCGTGACTACGAGCTTCACTCTCTTGACTTCAGCACAGCCTTCTTACAGGGCAGCCTGCACGAGGAGATCTGGCTGCGCCGCCCACCTGGCTTCACTGGGTCGTTCCCTCCTGGTACCCAGTGGAGCCTCAGGCGGCCGGTCTATAGTCTCCGCCAGGCGCCACGTGAGTGGCACGACACACTGAGGACGACACTTGCGGCTCTTGGGTTTGCTCCGTCGACTGCTGACCCGTCGCTGTTTCTGCGCACCGACATTTCGCTGCCGCCGTTCTACATCCTCGTGTACGTCGACGACTTGGTCTTTGCCACTGCTGACACTGAGGCTCTCGCCCAGGTGAAGTCGGAGCTGCAGAAGAGACACACGTGCACAGACCTGGGTGAGCTGACAAGCTATCTTGGCTTGCGGATCACCCGGGACAGAGCACGCCGCACCATCACACTGACTCAGTCACATATGGTGCAGCAGGTCCTTCAGCGCTTCGGCTTCACCTGGTCCTCGGCACAGCACACTCCTCTGGGTACAGGTCACTCGCTCTCAGCTCCACCTTCGGACGAGTCCGTAGAGCCGAGTGGTCCTTACCCAGAGCTAGTGGGCTGCCTCATGTACCTGATGACCTGCACTCGTCCTGACCTTGCGTACCCTCTTGGCCTTCTGGCTCGCTATGTGGCTCCTGGTCGGCACCGAAAGGTGCACATGGATGCTGCTAAGAGGGTACTACGCTACTTGTGCAGTACATCGGGCATGGGGCTCGTGCTTGGAGGACGGAGCGACGTTGTCCTCACTGGGCACTCAGACGTTTCTTGGGTTGACGGCCAGGCTACGCAGCGGTCGTCACAGGGTTACACCTTCAGCATTGGCTCTGGTTCGGTTTCTTGGCGTTCTACACGCTCGTCTTCAGTTCTCAGCTCCAGTTGTGAGGCTGAGATCTACGCCACAGCCATTGCTGCACAGGAGTTACGCTGGCTCACCTACCTGCTGACCGACTTGGGAGAGCGGCCTCGTTCTCCTCCAATGCTGTACGTCGACAACAAGGCCGCCATTGCCTTGTGTCAGAAGCACAGACTGGAGCACAGAACGAAGCACATCGCTCTGCGTTACTTCCTGGCTCGAGAGTTGCAGCAGCGTGGTCAGCTTCGTCTTGCTCACGTGGCCACTCGGGCCAACACTGCTGATATATTCACCAAGGCGCTTCCGTCTGGTGATCATCAGCGTTTTTGCACTCTGTTAGGCCTTGTGCCCACGTTTCCTCACTTGCTGTAGACTTTGCTTGTACTGTGATCTATATATATACCTGCATGCTTGATCTGCTAGGTCGAGATCACTGTGCTGTTGTTGTTGCATATATACCTCTGCATGTCAACTGGCCTTGTGGCCCTTTGCTTGTGCTCAGTGTGTGTGGTGACGTTGTGAACCACCCTGAGCTTACTTTGTTTCTCTTGACTGGTCTTGTGACCCCTTGCTCTCCCCCACTTTGCCTATGGGGGTGTGTCAAAGTATATGCATGTTCTATATGTGTAGGCTATAGTGAGGTAGCCAATATGGGGTACAGCCCCTTTTGGGGTTTCATACTTGTACCCAACTCTTTCATAGTTCAACCATTCCTGCTGCTTGATTCTGACAAACAATGCTCTTTGCTGCACGCGCTCTGCTCGCACGCACCATCCACTTGTACATATTCCTCGTGTCTCCTCAGAGAGGCCGTTTCCAGTACGGGTACACAGACGCCTCATGCAATGTGCAATGTGCAGCTGTCATTCAAGTCAGGTATGTACAAGTTATGTTACAATCAAGGCGAGGGGAGGGTCAGCGAGAGGCGTCCTACCCCAAAAAACTAGGATCCACAGCAATGCATGCCAAGTAGACTGGCGTGTATTGGCGATGGAGCGTCAACTTGTTATGTGAGTGCGGGCAGCCATGCCATGGCACAGCGAGAGCCCTGCATGTGGACCTCCTAGCAACAAGTGCTGCTGATGCTGCCACCGATGCTGCCACTGAAACTGATGCTGGTGCCACT